AATTTTAAAATCTTGAATATACAAATAAAACATTTTTTCACTCAATTTGGACATGTCCAGAGCTTTCATACTTTTAGCTCAAATTTCTTAATTTCAAAATCTATATTCTTACAACTATGCTTCTTTAGATGTGGGCACCATACCATAGCTGTATTCTCTAATTTAGGTTTGACGTACTGTAGATATTCATTATAAAGTTATTTAAATATATTCTATGAACGTAATTGAGATTTTTTCTAAAATTTAACAAAGGACATATGCTTCTCAAATAATATAATTTTCTCCCATTTATCTGCATTAAATTGCATTATCTGTGTGCCAGTGCCTATTTGTGGTTTATAGGATAGTAGTGACCCAGCATGTAGTGTCCTATTGTCTTTTGACAATTTACCAACTTTGCTTTTGAAGTTTTCCTCATTCTGGCCAATTAACAACTCCATGTGAGAAGATATTCTGTTCTTGCATCTCTCATCGGCAGTTTTTTCTTGTGTGCTAGCTTGAAGCTGTAGTGTTTACTTGATGCCTTGAAAGTAATTATCATGTTTCCCTATTTCTCTATATTGTTAAGAGTGGCAAACTTGAAAAACTTGTAATATCTTTCTCAGTTTGAGTATTATTTTAGCAGTATGGCTCCATATGTATGAGTGTTTATATATTTATATTTGCTTTTTGGTGCCTGTTTGTACTTTTTATGGTACTAGGTTGAGTGTTTTTTCTCTGTTATTATTTTTATATGTAAATGTGTGTGCTTTGCATTTCTGTATTTCCACATCAGTGTTGCATCCAGGTATGCAGTGTGATATGTTAATGTACATTGATAATGAATATATAGGTGTGCATGTGTGTTTGCATGTACATTATTTTTGTGTTTATGTTACTCTTGTAATTTAGCATTTATTGTTTGTGTGCTGATATATGCAATGGTGTGTATAATGCATGTTCATACATGGACAATTGTATACACAAGGCATTCATTAAATTTTGTGTGAAATGAAGAGAATATACTTGTTACTATGGTGGTGGTGGTGGTGGTAGTGGTGGTGTTGTAGGGTTAGGGGCAGCTACAGCACCAGACTGTATGTACCCATCGATCCAGGCGTTTACTATCATGTACTGTATATAAAAAATGGCTGAATACAGAATGTCAGTGTCATTCTAATGCACAACTAGTCAAAAAACTAAAAACACAATTTCTTATATGCCATATCAAAAATATGTTGGTTATTAAAAATTTTATTTTATAAAAAATGGTGAGGTAAGTTTCCAGTAATTTAGCGGAAGCTGATGTTTAGATAGGCCTAAGCAAAATTGCAGACAAAAAACATTTCAAAATTTTAAGAAAATAAAAATAAAATAAAATAAAAAAAATAAAAAAGGCACAGCTCATTCTCAAAAAAGAGACATCATAATGTACACATACATTTTATACATATATGTATGAACATTACATTCATATATGTATTAATCTGGTCGATAAATGTCAACAAAGGACAAGATAATCACCAAGGATCTTATCTCAACAGGACATAGGGATCATTTTCACAGGAGCAGGAGTTGAGGGGAAGGCAGGGTACACAAGGACAGACCTATTAAGAAAGCCACGTGGAATATCGAATACCGAAAATGAGTCAAGCATCCTAAATCTATTACAGAATCATTTGTTTTGTGCATACTATTCCACGTGGTTATTTGGGAATAATCTTTTTATTTACGAATCATCAGAAGGAAAAGAATTTATCCCACTTTTTCATTGTTTACTCTGTTTTCATATTAATATAAATATAACAAAGAAATTAAACAAGTATTACCATATTTACATTAAATTCTTTTCCTCCATACGAAAAATGGCAATTGTAGTGGGTCGACGAGGTCCAGAAATTAATTATACATTCTTGTGCATGAATCATCATCTATCGTGCAGGCCTGGTAAGGCACAGGAAGTACGTGTGCAACTATGGAAAAGTTTATGATGTGCAACACTGTGTAGGAGTACCGCTGTAAGTTTGCACGACTCTACCATATGGGATAGGGTTACGACTCTATGCAAGTTAAGTTCTATTAAATATTCCCTTTTTTTCTACTTTGCTTGCTGAGAAATTGCTTTCTAATAATTACAACTAAAACTTTGTAAAAAAAAAAATATTGTTCATTTGTACCTATGAGTTTTTACTGCAAAATAGCAACAAAACTATTATTGAAAATGAACCAGTAAACAAAGACAAACAACTAAGCACTCTGGCAACTGTGCCAGCAGCCAAACCACAATTTGTGCTCACAATTTAGAAGTAAACAATGCTGCATTCTGGTAGCCGAACGACAGTTTATCTGTAGTATGTATTAAATAACAGTTTCACGTCAATAAATGCCACAGGGAAAAGTGAATTAAATGCTGCTGAAAGTCCAACTTCTTCGTGCGGCTACTGAAGAAAATATGTATTTGTCTGCATGAAAAATACAAATACTGCATCTTTTTATAATCTCAGAGCAGATGAAGATTGTGAGCCATGCAGTCTTACATAACTATATTACAAGCAATGAAATGCTGTCACACCTGTTTGCCAGGAAGCCAGAGTCTTCAATGCCACATAAAAGGTGTGGCTTAACCCTTCACTTCTTGCAATATATCAATTTGGATTACTATTTTCCTGAAGAGAGATGGTCCTTATAACATTGCCATCTGTTCTGACATAATCCACTAAAATATCTGAATTCAAATATTTAATTGTATTTCATAGTAAAATGCAAGATTGGAGTGTAGTGTATCACAGAGAGCAACACCAGGTGCCGGCCACATATCTCAGTACATACACACAGTATATATGGGAAATTATAACCTGAGTCACTCATTATAATTTGTGTTAATACAAAGAGCCAAATCTCTTCCATATCTAATAAAACATCAATAACTTTATATAGATTTTAGTTTAGTTCATTTATTATTCACCCCATACCCATCTCATTTATTTATTAGAAGTGCTAATATAATAGATCAAGGTATTATGCTCTTAATATCATGATGACACAAATTATTGTATTCCCCTGTGTAAATAATGCATGCATATTAATAGGATTGCTATGAAGGAGTTAAATGAAACAATATATTTCACAGCATGCTTTTAATAAGTGCAACAAAGATGAGAAGATGGTGCAAACTACTACACATTAGCAAACTGCAAGGCAAACCATGCAACACCTCATAAAACAAACAAAACAATAACTAAAAACTAAAAATGAAACCAAGATGGTAATAAGACTAAAAAGAATTATAAAGTGAATTATCAAAGAAGGGAGAGTTCATAAGAAAAGACTTCAGTCATATAAAATGAAAAACCTCAAAAAAAAAAGGACTAAGATTTAAAAAAAAAATAGTGAACAGGATTGGCGATGCACAGTGAACCCTTCCATCCTTTGCTGATCCACCACAGTTACATTACAAGCTGTGTTTACTCTAGGCTAGCTACTTGATTACTGTTTAACTTGGAATATTGATTTAAGTCCAACATATGATTTGTTTAACATCTATTCACTTCTTGAAATTACAGAATGAATTTCAAAATAAAATTATTATAGTTTAAGGGAATTCTCCATACTGTATTATGAAGAACATTACAATGGCTGGCAGTGCATAAACCTCGAATGAAGACTTTTAAATTTTCTTAACCACATTCTATACATTAAAAATTACATCCTTACTGTTATCACTGGATTCTACTGACAACGGCTGAATTTTGAGTACAGTGTAATCAATCAAAATGTATAGTGATTATATTTTTAAATTTATTCCCAATATATATAAAATTTTTGTAACATAGTGAAAGCTCTCAATAAGAGCTGTAATATAGCTATCAAGTGACTGGAACAGTTTAGGATAAACTAATCAGTGATAATTAGCTCTTGATTAAGTAAATATTTTAATATACCTAAGCCACTTAGTGTCATTTTGCTTTACAAAATTTAGTGACACATTAATGCTTTAGCAACCTAAACATTAGGAGGAAAATTAAAGTTACAACTTCCATAATATAATTACAAGTTGCAAATTTGAGTGTAAAATAAATTAAAGAGAGTGCCATAATTTACACCTCAGTACAATATTTTCTGTATAAAGTATAATCCATCAACATCTAATTATCACAAACATATTTCAAAATGAAAACTTAATGTAAATCATACAAGTTTATAAACTGGTGAACTCTAAACCTCCAACTATTCTTTGACACAGTTTCTAATTTTTTGATTTACTTAAAACAAAAATTTTAATCAATTTAAACTTTTTTGTATTTTCATTTTGTAGAAAGATATCCAATGCAGAAAAATAATGAAATAATAGCAGATATATAGATAGTATAATACGTTTTAATATTTAAAAAACAAATCCAGCGATATTAATGGTGTCAAAGTTATTAGAAAGCAAATATGATTATTTGTGTGCTGTTTCTAGTAAGCTGATCTAGCAAGCACTGTAACAGACTAAGGAAACTGCTCATACTACCAACGAAGCTCCTCTGGCCCACTGCTCGCCCTCTAATACAAATTTTTACATAATGGACATTAGAATACGGGATCATTGATAAAATAATGGGATTGTTCAAGGAATGCTTTCGGCAACCTTAATAATCTACGTAGCTTCAAAAGTTATGTGAGTGAACGTAAGTAAAATGAATGAATTTGTCAAAAAGAGAAATAGCATTACTGTAAATCAAGATCATATTTGATAATAAATCTGAATACAGTATAATAAATTATAATGTGTGGTATATAGAAATTAAAAATTTATGGTAGGCCTAATGCTACAATAATCTGTCTTGAATAGTTAAAGCTACAGTATAAGCACTTCTCAATATCCTAGATCAGCCACCTAGAAAAGATCATAGACTAGTGGGAGTTCTTTTTCGAGATATTAGTGGGTGATTTTTAGATGTAATTGTGTGAGTAACAGCAGGTTTAGCCAGAGATGTGCAGGTGGGTGTGGGTCCACTTGGGTCTGTGACAACACATACCTTAGCTGATGATGCCCGTACATCTTCTGCAGGCGTAGGAGAGGAGGCTCTAGGATCACCATTGGCTACACCAACAATTGGACCTCCACCAGGAACATTAGGAGGAACTCGTTGCTCCTGCACCGAGGCTAACCTGGTGGCAGATACATATCTGACCTATTATTATTAATGTTTTAGTATTGCAGCTGTACTTGCATGATAATCCTAAATGATAGTTACAGTGTGTGTGTGTATTTTCTCACAAACATCATCCTGCTTTCACATTAACCTGGACAATACTAGAATGATATACAGTATATAGAAATGCTATAATATAGAATATTTAATAAACTTTAAACATTTATGTATACATTTTGTGCTTTTCAAAAATAAATTTACACTTAGGAAATGCTATCATGGGCTTCTTTATTTTACCAAGGACTGCATGTACAGAGGACCATCTAACTTTGAGAACCCCCTCGGGGATGGGACTCGTTGGTTACCGTGTAAGTTTAAAACGAGAAATGTAGGAAAAAGGAAAGAAAAAACACAAAAATCAAATCCAGGGAAAAAAATTGACAGGTTCATGGAATAAATGTGACACTATTTTGTTTGTACACACCAGTAAGAGAAGTCTTGATCCACTTGTTATGTTGATGATCATTGTTGATCATTGTTGATGGAGCATAGTTATTTACATGGAAGAGGTGGTGGTGGATGTTGATGGTGTTGGGTTGACTGAAGTGGAGATTAATAGTGAATGTTATCCATGATTTTTTTGTTAAATGGCATCTGTTTATGAGAGCCCTGAGGAAGCTGAAAGCTGATGTGAACCCCGTGTAGCCGCAGGAGTTACGAATGATACGCTATACCTATGAGATCCCTGAGGCACGTTGCACACGACCCGTTGATTGCCTCAAGGAGCGTTGCGCAGTGCAATAGTTAAGGCCCTGAGCAGTATAAGGGTTAAGAAGATAAAAACAGTAATTTTGGTAATGCCATATTCAGCACACATAACAGTTCTCGAGACACTGCTCTCCACCATTTTAATTATTTCCACTTTATTCTCAAATGTCATCACTGACCTCTTTCTTTTATGTATCCCACTTGATGCTTTCACTGACAAAATGCATGCATTTGGAGCCGACATGGTGCACGGATGATACTTGATTGTGCAGATATATCCAACAAAGTCACGGAATGAACACTTCAGCCTCGTGACAAATTAAAACAATGGGCTGTGAATCTGTGACGTCACAGGGTAGAAGGCACCAGAGTGGCGTCCGACACGGTCATTGGGCAAACTAGGCCATCTCCCTCCCACCACCCCCCAGGCCGACGCAAGGCCTGGCAGACCACTTCCTCACTTCTTCCCTTCCCGAACTTAGTTAACCACTGGATTGCGCCAACCGAGAAAACTCGGTTGGTGGGAAACTGCGTCAACCGAGAAAACTCTTTTTATTTTCTCGTACCCATTCAAAATGTGTGCACGGTTGGTTATGTACGAAATGGACTCTTAGGACCTCCAGTGAGAGGCAGCTATCTTGGAAAAAATTCCCAGAATGCCCTAGGGCTGCTGGCTCGGTTAGTACTGAGTGAGCAACCATGGATGGCACACACATCTCTGGCTCCCAAACACCTGTCCGACGCGGTGTTGAAAGATCGCGCTCTGTCAGTGAAATCCAAACCTTATTGTTTGAACAACATAAAGGTCATGATATTGGTGAAACTAGGCACAATGAGGACCTAACACAAAGGTCGGATGCAAGTGATACAGCACCTATGAGGACGATACAATGAGCGTATCCAGTTGTAGCTCTGAGTGCCACCCTTGTCCACCTATATCATCTCCAATTTATATAGATGATACATAGATGAATCGTTTTCTGCGTTCATTGATGATGCATCTGATACAAGTAGCATAGATGAACAGTATTAGCGGCTTCCATGGTGGTGTTTTCCATAGATATTTTCAAGAATAGATGAATCTCTTCCAGATTGACTGACACTCTTTGAGGCTAACTGAATCTCTTCCAGAATGCCTGAATGTCTTTTAGATTGACGGACACTTTTTGAGGGTGGCTGAATCTCTTCCTGTGTGGGACCTTACACAGCGATCTTTTCAAGACTTCCTTACAAATTGATATTTTCCTATAATCTTTTCAATACTACCTTATGCTTTACAAGCTTGGTTACATACCATCTACAAGTACTAAAACCAAGGGTGTACATGAGTGCATTATTTGCAAGCGCACAGAATGAAGAATCAGTAAGCAAAAATCTATCGGTACCTGGTGCAACGAGAGCAAAGTCGCGCTGTGTACTATGGACTACTTCGTTGATTATTACTCACTTCCGAAGTACTGAGTGTGTAATACAGTGTGTTACTGTGTAAATAGTGTGTGAAACTGTACATATTGTAATTGAAGTGAATTTTTAACAGGTAATGTTGCAACTGTAATTTTAACAATGGTAATGTTAATAATAAACATTTATTGTGGACACATTACTGACACTTGTATCACAGTGCTATGGAAAATTATGAACATTCTACTGTATACATATTGTAAAGGACACAAATATGCATCATATACGATAAAAAGCAAATAAAACCGCATTGGAAATACATAAAACAAATAATTGAAAATAAATTTGTGGCAACATGTGGTACTTGAATGGCCTGCGCGACCATGTCTGAGCGCTTCACGCACGGGCGACCAGCCCCTGATGACGTCACAGTGCACCTTGTCCACATCCTCACGGCCAAAGTAAGTGGAATTTGACATTTATTTTTACATAGACATGTTCAGAGAAGGGAATTCATCATTTTAATAAGAAAAAATGTTTTTTTGGGAACATTTGATTTTATGTGCATAGGGGGAATTTCACAATAAACTCGGTGCATCACAGTGCTTAAGAAAGCATGAAATCGCAACCCCAATCATGAAACTGGAACTTTTGGATAACTTAAGTTCGCAAACCAAGTGGTCCTCTGCATATTTTCTGATACCTACTCAAAATTATGAATGTTTGATGTATGACATTTTGTAACATTACAGACTTAACGAGAGTAAAAAAACAGCAGTGAATGTAATGAAACACCATTTTCTGGGTGAGCCCAGGAGGATCCCTGGAGCTATCGGGCTAATGTGTGATAGGCATAACAACCATGAAACCTATCCAGTCCCTGAACCCCGGATGAATAGGAACTTACCAATACCTATCTTTGAAGTCCAAGGACACCCATTCAGGCACCCAGCTCGAAAAGAAGCTGAACCTGATACAGAGTGGTTATCCGAAAGAAGAGGCAAGGAATCCAGGGATTCAGATAGGATAAGTTCAGAATGAACCTCAGATCTGCACAGTCCTGTTTCGGCACTGGAAACAGATGGGAACCCACCTGAAGAACGAGGTCACCCTTCAGCTTTCGACCATTGCTCAGGCATACCCACTCCGAGATGACCTGATGAAGCGCAGGGGAAGAAGCCTGTCCTGCCAGCCCCGAACCCCCAGGAAGGGACAGAACCCTTTCAATGCCACAACAGGCCAGATGACATGACCAAAACAGAGTGAGCTTCCCCCCCCCCCCCCTACATTGCCCTATCAACAGGGCGAACTGCGAAAGGGTCGACGCCCCTTATGAGAAGCCCACCGACAAACAGAGTGATCATTGCAGCGACCAAATGATGCCGGCTCCGAAGGCAACGTCGGATCAGAAGTTGGCACCAATGGCTCACCTCAACCAGCGGAACACCAAGTCCTGGCATGACCCTTCCGAGAAGGCCTAGAATGGCTGCCCCCGGAAAGCCAACAAGTATGATATAGGACGACAACTTGATGAAGCCACCTGCAGAAACTGCGTGACAGCAGATTACGCAAACAGCAACTGACAAAATGGCGACAAAAACTGAAGAGCCAGGGCCCATGCGAATCCCAAAGAGAGAACGAGCACAGCTGACGGCATGCGAGGCAAGAAGCAAAGAACAGAGACACCACCTTCTTCAGGACAGGTGCAAAAAGCTTCAAAAGTGCGGCAGACGCCCGAGTCGCCAAGGATAGCACATCAAACGAAGGCCCGGCACTCAATGCCTCCACATCCTCCTCAAGCCAGGCCGAAGATAGCTCGAGAAGGGAAAAGAAATGCAAGATCAAAGCTAAATGCTCACATGCAAACAAATTCTCAGTAACCAAGGACGCCTAAATGGTAGGAACCTACACATGCAACTAGACAAGACCAACATCCCGAGAAAGCATGGGGGCAAACAAGCATGCATTAACCCTTAAATTGCGCATTGCATCATATGATGCTTTGACCGACTTGCAGTAAATTGCGCATCGTATCATGTGATGCTTTGGAGTACTATGCAAGATTTAAACGACCCGCGGATACACGGGGTTCACCACATCTTCATCAGTGCTCTTGTAAACAGATGCCATTTTTTAAAAAAATCGTGGGCCAAATTCCCAGGTGTTAGGGGCCTCAGTATTGAGTGAGCTACCAAGCCTGACACACGCAGCATGAGCTCACAGCACTGCTGTTCAGCTTGTGACCACAGCATCGCCTAAAAATGCCATAATATACTTGTTCATGCTATTATGTAGCGATGATATTATTACAGAAGACCCCTGACTGTGATAAAACTGACCAGGTTTCTGATAATAGCAGAATTGTGGTGATATTTAGCGTTGTGTGCCATGGAGGGAGGAGTAATGCTGTGGGAGGGAGGGTGGTGGCGATGTCTTCTGACTGTGTGTGGCCACCTTTTATTGACTGCACTCACCATACCAGCTTAGTGGTTCACTATGGTGAACACAAATGTAGATACTTATATATAACGTGTGTATAAAGGGTATAAACAGCAAGAGGAGTAGGTTGGGAGCCGCCATTTTGGTGAGGGCGGTGGCGTCGTCTGCACGATTTACTATGTTGTTTACTGGTTACCACAATGGTCTTTGGGCATCATACCAGTTTACTTGTCCAAGTATGGTGAATAAAACAGGTAGATATTTATATATAATGTGTGTATATAGCATAATAACACCACAAACAGTATTGTTGGAGGAGAAATATTAGTGCGTCTGGCCTTAAGGGTGGCAGCCAGCTGACTGTGTGAGGTCCTACGTCTTTGTGCCTTTACTCACCATACAAGCTTAGATGTACAGTTATGGTGA